CCTTCCTACTACCCCACCCATGCATTTCACCCCCCTTCACCCCCATCACCCCTACCCCCCTCCCCACAAACAAACCCCCCCCCCCCCCCCGCTTCTCCCTCCGCAACCAACCTTCCGTGGATGAAACCGAAGGCAATCCAGTTGGTGAGGCAAACAACCCACAGAATGGCCGAGGAGTAGATGATGTACTGGCGATCCCACAGGAAAAGCCAGGTGACGTTGGCCAGGAGGTTGATCGTGTAGGTGACGAGGAAGGCTGGCGTGAGGACGGCGGGGCTCAGGTAAACGGGTCCCACAGCATTACGGCGACACAGCAAGATCAGAGCTGCAAGGGAGGAATGGATTATCTATCTATCTCGTATATATACACATACCCACATGTATATTTACTTATCTACCTTTTTATGCAGTGTGGGAAAAGTTAATGCATGGATGAAAAAAATTCTTGACAGTCACTGGTGATGATTGCTGGTTAATGATCAACGTCTGGAATAATGCAAAGGAGAGGAGGGAGAGAGAGAGCAAGAGAGAGAGAACGAGGTGGGGAAGAGAGGGATATAAGAAGGATAGATGGAAGGGAGGAAGGGAGAGAAGGTAGGAGGGAGAGAGGGAGGAAAGGAGGGATGGTAGGAAGGAGGGAGGGAGAGAGGAAGAGAGAGAGGGAGAGAAGGAGGAAGGGAAGGAGGGAGATAAGGAAGAAGAGAAGAAGGAAACAGGGAGGGAGAGAGGAAAAAGAGAAAGGAGGGAGGGTGGGAGAGGAAGACAGGGACTTAACAAGGTTAGATCTTAGAAGGTATTGCAAATTGCAGAGATTATCGAGATATTTAAAACAGGTTCTTATGAGAGGGAAAGAGGAGGAGAGAGGGAATGGAAGAGAAAGAGGAAGAGAAAGAAAGTGGAAGAAAAATAAAGTGGAAGAGAGGGAAAAAGGAAGAGAGAGAAAGAGAAAGAGAAAGAAAGTGGAAGAGAAAGAAAGACGAAGAGAGGGAATGAGAAAGAAAGAGAAAGAGGAAGAGAGAGGGAAAAAAGGCGAAAGAGGAGAGGAAACTGGGGTAGAACTAAGGAGAAAGAGAACAACCAATTTCCTCATGATCGCCAGTGATGAAATAGGAAGAAAGCGGAACGCACAATATGCAACCCTAGTCAACGGCAATCAACGGGAAACAGAAAGTCAATAAATCTCACCGGTTTATTTAGCACAACAACAAAAAAAAACGAGTTGTGTAAAATACGGGAAAAAAAAACATTTAAAAACTCGAAGCCCGAATTTTGAAGAATAAAATATATAAACCTGTTAATAAATATGACACTTAATTAGATAAAAACAGAAGCATAAAACATATACCAACACCTCAAAACTAACGACCTGTATTCTATAACGACTGTTAAACAATATTCAACAGACAAAGTGAGCGGTAGACGAGAGTAGAAAACAAAGACAAAGCACCGTTGTTTATGCGATGCCCGCGGTAGATAGACGTAGAATAATTGAGATTAATACGGTAGATAGGAATATAATACTTACGATAAATGGGAGTAGATAGGTAGATAGGAGTAGAAGAATGGACTAAGATGAACAAAGGAGGGTGGAGGAGGAAAGACCTGGGAACCGTAAAGAGAGAGAGGGGGAGGGGGGGAGGGGGGGAGGATGACACGAAGCGGGGAGGGAGAGGAAGAGGAAGAATAAATGTGAAGATATGAGGAAGAAGAAGAAAGTGTGGGGGGGGAGGGGAAAACGAGGGAGGGGAAGGAAATCTGGGGAGGAAAGGGAGGTGGGGGGAGGGGGGGACAGGAGGAGATGGTAAAGGAGGAGGAGGAGGAGGAGGTGAAAACGAAGAAGAGGAATTTCGAGAAGTAGGAAATGGGGGGGGGGGGGGTAAGGAAGATGAAGACCAGGAGGTGAAATATGAAAAGAAGAGAGAAGCGAAAGAGGAAGAAGAGAAAAGTGGAAAGAGAGTAGGGAGGAAGAGGAAAAAGAAAGAAAGAAAAAAGGATAAGAATAGAGAGAATTAGAAAAAAAGAGCGAAACAATTATACAAAATACAATGTAATACAAAATACAATACGAAAGAAGAGAGGAATGGTAAGGAGAAAAGACGAGAGAGAGAGAGAGAGAGAGAGAGAGAGAGAGAGAGAGAGAGAGAGAGAGAGAGAGAGAGAGAGAGTGAGAGAGAGAGAGAGAGAGATAAAGAGCGAGATAGAGAAAGAGCGAGATAGAGAAAGAAAGAGAGAGAGAAAGAGAAAGAGAAAGAGAGAGAAAGAGAGAGACAGACAGACAGAGAGAGAGAGAGAGAGAAAGAAGAGACTGACAGAAAGACAGAAACAGAAAGACAGATACAGAAACAGAAAGACAGAGACACAAAAACACAGCAAAAAAAAGACAAAAAAGAAAAACAAATCAAAACTAAGAGCCACAATCAAGCCACCCAGCCACCAAAACTCACCGTAGAGATGAGCCAGCAGGAGCCAAATGTAGATGACCGTCCATATGAGAAAGGTGAAGCCGGCGGGCGTGACGTCGATCTCGTAGAGGGCCGATAGGTTCCCGACGGTCGAGTTGAAGATGCCTGCAAGAGGGACGTTTGGTCAGGGGGGGGCTCAGTGCCAATGGACATGGGGAAAATGGGGAAAATGGGAAAAAATGGGGGGGAAAGGAAAGGGGAAATAGGGGTATATGTTATACATGTATTACATGTTATACACACACATATATATATATATATATATGTGTGTGTGTGTTTGTTTTTTGTTTGTTTGTTTGTGTGTGTGTGTGTGTTTGTGTGTGTGTGTGTGTGTGTGTGTGTGTGTGTGTGTGTGTGTGTGTGTGTGTGTGTGTGTGTGTGTGTGTGTGTGTGTGTGTGTGTGTGTGTGTGTGTGTGTGTGCGTGTGTGTGTGTGTATCATCAATTCAGCAAACCCAATCACAGACCAAATTTATATACAAGCAATTCATTCATAAAACAGACTATAATTACACAAATAAATAACAATTCCTCATTCATAGCAGCGAGCGGCATTAAAAGCAAGCCCGAGCAAGATCCCATGCAAGATAAAGCACGCAATTTGCAAGAAAAAAAAATGAAGGAAACTAGACCTTCTATGGACAGCTATGGGGGGAAAAATGCCTCACTGTAGGGGTTTTGTAGGGAGACGAGGCAGACTGACATGCAAAGCTATAGTCTCGTTTTTATTGGGCGTATTTTTGTGTGTGTAATAAAGGGGGGGAGGGGAATGGGGGTGGATGGGTGGGTGAGGGGATGTGGATGGGGTGTGGGGGGGTTGGGAGTCTGGTAGGTATTTCTGTTGTTGTTGTTGTTGTTGTCTGACTGGTCTCTTTCTTTGTATCTCCTCCTCCCCTCCCTCTCCTGCCCTTCTTCCTTCTTTTCCCTCACTCCCTCCCTCTCTCTCTCCTTCCTCTCCTGTCTTCTCTTCTCCCTCCCTCCCCTACCCCCTCCCTCCTTCCTTTCTTCTCTTCTCCCTACCTCCCCTCCCCTCCCCTCCTCTCCCTCCTTCCTCTCTTCTCCCTCCCTCCCTCCCTCTCTTTCTCTTCAACACGTACACTCACTCATTCACCCACTCTTAGGCCAGTGAAAACTACCCCACAAAACAGCGGAAAACATTAAAAAATCGAATAGCAAAAAAAGAAAAAGAAAAAGAAAAAAATATTATTATTATTATTATTATTATTATTATTATTATTATTATTAATAACAATAATAATAATAAAAAAATAAACAGTTATTACCAAAAAGTCATACAATTTACTTTTTCAAGAATTCCTTTTACAAGATTTTTAAAAAGAGAATAGATAGATAGATAAATAGACAGAAAGAAAAGAAGAAAGAAAGAAAAAGACAGAAAGAAAGAAAGAAAGAAAAATAAATAAATAAAGATAGATAGAAAGAAAAAAGAAAGAAAGAAAAAGAAAGAAGGAAAGAAAGAAAGAAAGAAAAAGAAAGAAGGAAAGAAAGAAAGAAAAAGAAAGAAGGAATGAAAGAAAGAAAAAGAAAGAAGGAATGAAAGAAAGAAAAATAGAAAGAAAAAGAAGAAAAGAAAGAAAAATAGAAAGAAAGAAAAGTAGAAAGAGAGAAAGAGAGAGAGAAAAAAAACAAAGAAAGAAAGAGAGAGAGAGAGAAACAGAATGAAAGAAAGAAAGAAAGAGAGAAAATAACAGAAAGAAAGAAAGAAAGAAAGAGAGAAAAACAGAAAGAAAGAGAAATAAATAAATAAAGAGAGAGAGACAAACAGAAAGAAAGAGAAATAAATAAATAAAGAAAGAGAGGAAACAAAAATAAATAGCTAAATAAAGAAAGAAACAGGAATAAATAAAGAAAGAGAGCGAGAAAAATAGAAAGAAAGAAAGAAAGGAGAGAGAGAGTTATTTTTACTTGGGGAGAAAATGACCTAATACCTTCTGAGGTGACCTTGATCGACCTGACGTTGCGAGGCGCGTTGCTCTAGGGTCGAGAGGTGGAAGAGAAACAGGAAAAAAATGAATAAAAAGCGAGAAAGATGGAGGGATAAAGAGGGAAGAGAGAGAAACAGAGAAAACTTCAGATGCAAGGATAAAGGATAAAGAGGGAAGAGAGAAAACTTCAGAAAAAAATATATAAGTGGGGGGAAGAAAGAGAAGTGAAGGAGAAAAACGAGAAAGAAAGGGGAGGAATAAAGGAGAAAAGGAAGATAAAAAAATGTAAGAAAGGTATAGATAAAGATGGGAGGAAGCAAAATAAGGAGAGTAAAAAAAAAGGGGGAAAAGAAAAACGGAAGAAGAAAGACGAAAGAAAATTATGAAATAGAAAAAGGGAAAGAAAATAAATAAATAAAGGAAAAAAGAAAGATAAATGAAAGAAGAATGAATAAGGGAGAAATAAAATACGGGAGGAGTGATACAGGGGAACGGAAGAGGGAAGTACAGAAAAAGGGAGAGAGAGGAATAGAGGGAAGAACTGGGGAAGAATAGATGACAGGAGTGAGGAGAGGAGGAAATAAAAAAAACAG